AGGTACTGGTAGACACAATTTCTAAACATGTTTCTACTACATAAGTGCGAGAATTACCTTCTTTTCCTTCTTGAGGAGAGGGCAGTCGACTTTCCTGTGCCCTGACTTGTTGCACTTGTGGCATCTTCCTTTCAGTTTCTTTGCCACATCTTGAGAAGCCGATCACAGAGCGACTGCTGCTATTTTCCCCTTCACCTTTTCTACAGACTTCTTCATCTTCTTACCTTTATTGGGCCTAGAAGAAGAAGGTCTAGCCTGCTTGGCGACTATTACCTAATCACTCTAATGAAATAGGCCTTCCATCGACCGAAGCTATGCTAACAGTTTCGGAAGAGATAACCTCATACTCATGTTGTAGTTCAATGGAAATTGATCAAAGATCTTTGGCAGAGACTGGAGCATAATATCAACCTGGGTTTTCCCGTCGATAAATGCTCCTGGGACCTCCAGCTCGTTGAGTTGTGCCATGATCACAAGAGCATACTCCCTCACGAGTGTGCCCTCACTCATGCGCATGTTCATCAGTACCCTCATGGCCTCTTGTATGGCAACCCGTGATTGGTGGCCAAACAGATCCTTGAGCTTAGAGACTATGTTTGTCGCAGTAAGCATTGACTAATGCTAATGCTGAAGAAAATTTGACATAGAAGCCAAAATGTAACACTTCTCCATCTCATCATCCTTCTTCCATTTGACATACTCCTCTTTCTCTTGATCCGTTGCCGCCTGACCGAGCACATCCGGACAAGCCTCAGTGAGTACATACTTGTACCTTTCAACAGTCAACACTATGCCCAAGTTCCTTTTCCAACCAATGCAATTTGGACCAGTAAGTTGATTTTCTTTTACAATCACAGACAACGGATTGAAAGACATGTTGAATATGACGTGAGAATCATAAAAATATTTTACTGAAACACTTTTGAATTTAACTGTTAACATTGATATCCCCAAAACAATATTAACTTAAATTCACCAAAATCTCAAAACACCAAGTGTGACATATGCTAGCTCTACGTACTCAATGTTCGCAGAAAAAGGATTTTCAAGAACCCATTAGTATTCATAAGCCAAAACTAAATTTATGGCGAATAAAACTAATAGTCGGCTTCTTTTTTGCCACGCAATAAATAATCAGTGACTCCGTGTGGGAGAATAATTTCAAATCGCGTTCTAAGTGAAACCCATTTCACGATCTTAAGGTCATCATATTAGATTATATGTCCCCGGTGGGTAGGGAACGTACGCTCAATTTGAATTCCTATAATCGTCCAATTGCAAGTTCGTACTGGTGAGTTCCTACAATTAATCTCAGTAGTGTCAATGGTGGGCGGAGTCCACACTTTCATTACATTGATTCACCAAAAAAACAAGAAATAGAGGTCTTAGGATTTTAAAATTAGCTTTAATTTTGAAATTTCTTCTCAAATTTCGTATAACTTTAATTCATGATTTTTAGCTTATGAAATTCAATAATTAATCACATGTCATAAAGTAATAAATTAATTAACATGCATAAATAGTTAATAGGCATAATATCACTATTGAAAATAAATCCATTATTATGGACAATTAATTAATGAGTCCCAGCAGATAAGAAAATTATCAGATAGGATCTTCTGATTTTCCTAATCCACTCAGAACTCCCACTATTAGTTGTCTTATCCAGCAAGTTTCCACCCACAACTGCCAGAGGGTTGCCGTTGTCCGCCAGTCGTCACGCCTGTCTTGCACGTCGCTCGCGTCGGGACTGCGTCTCATGCGGCAGAGCACTGCGCCAGAGCAGCGTGTCGTTCGGCCAGTTGTTGTGATTTCCTGCATGGCGTCGTCTGCTCTTCTACTGCTGCGCATCGCGTACGTCCAATGGTGCGTGACTCGAGGCATTCTCGTGCATAGCCTCGTCGCCTCTCTGTAATGCCTTGCGCTAGCGATCATCGGGTCCTGCCGTGCGCCTCCTAGCACCCGCTCGTTGTGCCTTGCATCACCGCACCTGGGCTCCTCCGATCTACACTCTTGGTCCCCGCGCATCTCGTGTCCCTCGGCTGCAGCGGGTCGCACGCGTGCCACTTGGGTGCCCTCGATAGCACACTGTCAGCGCCATCACACTCGCACAACCTGGTCGCATGCATTGCGGTGGTCCAAGGTCGATCACCTCGTCGAGGTCCGTCGGTCTCGGTGATCTTCTGGTGGTCCGCACACGATCATGATCAAAATATAATTTACATAAATTATATATTTCAGTCCTAGACCCACTTATGGGTTTTACATGTTCGTCTACAAAAATAATTAAAACTACCCGGTGTCCCATCGGACGAATAATTATTACAAACATTTAACCATATTCCTCGACATTCTCGAGGCTTTAAAAAACAAGCTACAAATAAAATACATACGACCATAACAGTGGATTAAAATTATTTCTGAAAAACCAAGTTATGCAAATATAATCCAATTTATGGCTGCGCTTGAACACACGTTTTCACATAAGTTATAAATTTCAAACTTTGCACAGAAAGAATTAGCCGTGGGATCTGATACCACTTGTAGGGACAGGTGAAGATCTCGTTAAGTGCAAGTCACAAATTAAATAACAACAACAATAAACCTATTGCGCAGCGGATTCAAAGGTTTAAAGTGTAGATCTCGTTAGAATTTGCAGACTCTGAGACAGTGTAGATTTTCGTTGATAGAGATCGTCGAATTTACATTCATTGGAAATTGCCTCGTTCGTTGTCTCAGAGTCACCAGGAACATCGCGCAGTTGGACGTGGTCGGTCTTGCCTGGGTCTTGCGGATGCTATGCTCGCGGGCAGCTGCGGGTTGAGATATCCTCGCGGGCTTGCGACGGACAACAGAGAATCACTTGGAGCACGTTGTGTTACCAAGGAAGTCGCGGGTCTACAGCGTGTGGGAGTGGGCGCTCGGGCGTGGTGGTCGCTGGGGCTAAGGCGCGAGTATGTCACGTTGGTCTCGGTTAAGGTCACTCAGGTGCGGTAGCTCACCAGGAGGTCTCGTCAACCTCAGGGGCATCTGCTGTATGACTCGACACCTCTTCGGTTGTCTTGGTGTGAGCTTGTAGCTCACAGATGATCTCTCGGGAACTAAGGTCGGCCGACTCCTTTGTGTTTATGCTTGTAGTTGTGTCCAATCCCAAGAGATACTTGGTGTAGGGCTATAACAAGGACCCTAAGAAGGTGATGATGTAGGCTTCTTAAGTCTTGGGCCTAACTGTGGGCCAAACTCACTCCGCTTAGTGACTTAAATAAGTTTTGATCCACTAACAAAACATTATTGCACCCCCTCATCATCCCCTAATTATATTTGAGTCTCCAATTATAATTACCCGAATTAGCTCCCCACATTTAAGATATAATGTCCGTCAACTAATTTGATTACTGATAACCAAGAATTATTCGACATCTTGAACCGAAGCTAGACCACTCAAATCATTATTATAATGTCAGAACTTAATCCACCTGCATGGTTTAACATAATAATCTTTCATGAGCTCACTTCGGGGACATCATTTAACTAACGCACATGGTGACTGTAAATATTCTAACGACACACCATACACACAACACTACTTCCCAAAACGTGAAGACGATTGACCCAACAGAAAGGATCTCGCTTTTAGTGAATCAAAGTAGCAGCTATTGTATGTACGTGCATGTTTATATCTTACAAGTTAAGAGAACACAATAATTAAACAATGCCTAGTTCATTTACAACAATTAGTATAAAACAAATTGCTTCTCTTTGGGATCCTGCTCAATACACGAATGTACTAGTGCAACTAATCAGTCAAGATCAACTGTACGGTTGGCATTACAACCGTTCTTATGGTTTTTTCATTTCCATCTAGGTTGTAAACCAATCATTCTTGTTTTGCAAGTGACTGATAAAATGATCTTCTGTCCATCCTTGATGAACCATTTTATCTAAGTGCAAAACAACAGAACATAGAATTTGTTCAACCAAACACTATTCTCATTCCACACAAATAGTGTAAATAACATCTAAAGCCAATTTTTCAGTATATACACCCACTCTAAAGCTCAAGTCAGAACTGATTCAAGAGAATAAACTGGAAAGTATATAATGCATAAATATGTGATATATATTACCATAGAACCTGGTTACCATTATATTGGGTGAGTGTCTTGATGCTTAAGAGAATCCTTGTTTCAAAAAGATCTAACCAGATCCTCTTGCCTAACTCACCACGTCTCTATCCAGGAAAGTCTCTTTGGCAAGCTATACTTTCCATAATAGTAAGATTTTTTCCCCCTTTATTGTACAACTCTTAGGTCCCTAGGTCGCAACGACGACCTCTTGACCTTCTTGTTGTAACTTTACTGAGGTTGACTCCCAACCTCCAGACTTGCAACCTCAACACCTTGAGCTCACTCTTCACACGCGAGCTCCTAGAGGTTGCGACCTCCAAATCATCTTATTAGGCAGACCAATACCTTAAGCTACGACTACGAGCTCCCCAACTGAGTTATCCCCTTCTTAGTGACCTGGATCTCCTCCAGACCAGCCTACCCTAAGCTAACCACTCAGGTTGGTTGCGAGATATTATAGGTAATACATCATCTAGCACCACCCCTCTCTCCCCCCTCCCCCATTTCAAAATGAGCAACTGAAACTTGTGTTGAAATTGTACTTTGTTGTGCCTTTGAACCTAGTCTATTTCTGCAGTAATTGCAGTGTCAATCAACACAGGAGAATGTGAGATGCCGAAAATGCCTCATTTAACAACAATATAAATAAAAGGATGACATTTAGTGTAAGTAGGCAATTTTTCTTAAAGAGTATGATGAATAGACTCGCATAAAGTTAGACTAACTCATACAAGAATTTGTGTAGTTTTATCTGTTGTTCAATTGCAATATTCACAATGAAAAAATACAATAGTTAGACTGTCTCATACAAGAATTTATTTAGTTTTTTATTCATGGTTCAATTGCAATAAACAATCAGAAAATACAGATACCCTGCAAGAACTTGAACTTGAATGCACTACCATTATCTGGTCAGAACCACTAAATCAACAACATATTATCCAATTCATCAGACTACATCATTAGTCACTTAGATGCTGATATTCAAAATGGATAATTTCAATACCAATGTCCAACACTCACAAAACTGACGGCGAGACCTTCCCTTTCCTAAGACAGCAAAAAGAAATTTTCTTTGCTCTCATCAGTTGATAACTGGAACTACACAAACCAACCTTGAGTAAACACAGAAAACCACTTGTCAATGTAAGCTTTCAGCAACAGCCATTAGTGTCTAGACACAGAAACAGATAAAACCAAATCAAATGACAACACATAAGAAACTCCATCACCTGTGTCTCACAGAATAAAACACTTACCAATACATTATGCTTCTCATACACATTACACATAGTAAGTACATCCACTTAAGGTACACAACAAAAGCAGATAAAACAAGTCAGTCCAGAACCAGAACCATATACAAATCCGCTACTTCTCCCTACACACTCTAATGCATGAGCGCCACAGCGGCCTCCTGCACCACTGGGACGAAATCCTCCGCTTCGCGCTCCGCCTGCTCCCGGCACTTCCCATCCCTATCCCCCATCCTCTTCACAAACCCCACGAACCTCCTCCAATTATCCGGCTGGAAAAGCTCCGGGTTCATCCTCAGGTACGTAAACGCGCACATATCCCCAGCACCCAGAATCTGTTCATACGCATTCTCGTCATACCTCGGCAACGCATTCTCGCCCGCGAGTCGAACCCGAGCCTCCCGGGCAGCCGCGGCCACCTGGCGCACCAGCCACACGGGCCCACAAAGCGCCTCCTGAGGCTGCTCGTGGTCCCGCATCTCCATGCACGTGAAGTTGAGCACGGCGCTATGGCGGGCGAGCATGCGGGCGATCGGGACGTAACCGTCTCGGAATCGGGTGTTGTAGTAACCGGCCGTGAGCTCGGGGGCGTGGGACCGTGACCCGTAGTGCCAGTGGATGCCGGCGACTTTGACCGAGAGCTTCACGTCTCGGTTTGTGAAGGCGTTTGCGGCGGATTGTAAGACGCGTTCGCCGTGGTCGAGGAGCATCTGGGAGTACCATGAGAGGAAGAACTTTCCGTAAGGGCTGTCCCAACCGCCGCTTTCCTTCCGGAAGAAGTTTGTGTCCTCGGGCCAGTTGTTGTAGTGGCCTGCGTCGGTTGGGCCTGTGTGGCCCCATTCGGGCTTGCCGATGGCCTCAGCCGCTGCTCTAAGGCTGCTTATCATATACTGCATCAATATAAATCATATAAGTATAACCTTGTGAAATAACAAAAAGTTCCCTTCATACTCTCACACCCTTTTGACAATCTTAGGTTTTTTCACACAATATTTTTTTTCCAAACAATAGAAAACTCCAATAAACAAGAAGCCAGAGTTTACAAGCCTGATACAATCCCACAAAGGAACAAACACACTGAGAGACACACTTAGACACACTTGGACAGTGGTCTAGACACAAACCAACTACACAACTAAAGCAAGGCCTAACACACTGGAGCCTTTAGCCGGTAATAACCTCCAACAACAAACACATACACATCACAGAAACACCTGCAGCCCTACCAAGAAGCTAACAACCAAAGAGAAGAGAAAACCCAAACACCTGAAAACAACCTAAAATGAACACCTGCAAACCTGAAACACCTGCAGCCCAAACAAACACCCACACCAAAACCTGACGGAACTAATACAGCCTAAAACATAAACAAAAACAAGAATTAGTATTATATTGATTTTTTTTGTTATTATTATTATTATTATTTTTTTTGTTTCTATGAAGTTTAATCATTGATTCAAACTTCGATGTTCTGTATTCCCATTAACTTCATTTTTTGATAGGTAAAGAATTAGTAAACTGATAATTTATATAAATCATTTAAGAAAATACACAATTAATTGACCAATAAAATGATTTTTTTTCCATGAATGTGGCATTGCGGGTGATAGAACACGACAGTATTTGTTTACATACATTACCCACTCACTTATGCCCAATTTCAAGGGGATGACCATTTGAAGTTACATTACCTTGTCATAACATTGAAAAGCTCCAATCCCAGGAAACTTCCATGTCCCATTTTGCTCTGGGTAAGATGGATAGCGAAGCTCTCCTGCCGGACCCATTCCAACTTGAATTTCCTAGATATTGAGGTAAGAAATACACAGTCAAGTGATGATATCACATGCAACCCAAACATTATCATCCACAAAAGTATCATCCGCACTTACCACAATGGTGTCGCCCAAAAGATGCTTAAATGTGTCCCTGAAAGCACACATGAAATCAGAATAACACTGGACGGGACTCCTTCCTTTGAGTACAGGGAGGGTATCACAACCGAGTGACAAGTATTCATAATTCCTCCGACCCCACTGGTCTGTATAGGCAAGATCGGGATCTCTGTCAATCTCCTCCACAACCCATTTAGGAAGAGGAATTCTGAATCAAATAGAAATTGAAATGCGGGTAAGAAAGATGATTTTAAAGAAAGATACCACCTTGAAACTCATTAATGGTTGTTTTATTGCAAATTTCGTCATCAAAGCAAGAAGAAATAAGAAGATGGTGTTCTTGAATTTCAGTTCTTTAGAAAAGCATATGTCCATTATATGGTATCAACTGTCCTCCATTTACAAAAGGTGTATTCGAGTGTAGATTAGTTATTTTGGATGGGACTACACATTGCACACCACCATGAGGAAAGATATGCATAACAAACTTGAATGGAAGATTACTGATAGGATGAAGGATCATTACACATTGGTGGCCACAAGTTTAAGAAAATAATTTGTCACTAAAATTCATCAGCCTAAAGGAGAGCATATGCATGATTTAGGATTCTCCTTTTATCACTTTAGACAGGTCAATTCACTACCTTCCCCACCCACTCACTTTTCTTTTCCCTAAACATGTTCATTCACCTGACAGATTCTAGATCCTATGAGAAATCTAAGCAATAGCAATTAGAACGAGTCCGAAGACCTACGCTACAACATCAAAATTAACGCCCAAGTCTGCCCGACAAAATTTCAAAGGCCTTCAGCTCAGATTTTTTTTTTTTTTAATTAAGGAATAAAGAAGGGGAAAAAGAAAATAGAATTCAAATTAACTTACGTGCAGGAATCTCCAACATTTCCTCCGCACTGGTGAAACGACATGACGGCCTGCACTTTCAGGCCGTGCTTCTTCGCCATCTCAAGGAGATCGGAATACCCGCCCCAATTGTACTCTCCGGGTTTTTCCCCTTCCACTAACCCCCACCACACATCCATCATTATCCCTTCCACACCCGCGCTCCTCAACGCCTGCAAGCTCGCGTTCATCGCCTTTTTCCTATTCACCGTGTGATTCCAGGTCACGCTGTCGAGGGGCATCATGACGTACACGGGCACCCCCTTTCTGCCCTCCTTACCCCGCGCGCCCAGGACGTAATCCCTCTCGTGCGCAACATCCACGGTGACAGGAACCGACATCAGCGCCTGCGCTGCCACCGACAGGTCTGGCCGTACGCCGCCGCGCACGGGGCTCAGCGGCGGGGATGGAGACACACGATCATTCTCCGCACCGGATTTCCTCACGGAGACACGCAGGTTCGCCGCTGCTGGAGCTCTCCACACCGCGCTGACGGTAGTAGACGACTGCGCGTCGCCGGAGACTCCGCCAACGTCGGCGGTCAACGGCGAACCGGAGATCGCTCCGATCTGGTGGGGCAGACTCATTGCCATAATCTAACGAATATGAAAATAATTATTGAAATGTGAAAAAAGGAAAATTAGAAAATTGTAGGCACCGATATAAATGTGATTGGAATTTGGAAGACGAAGGCGTCACGAAAATGTAGCTAAGGTGAGACTTGTGGTTGTGGTCGGCAATATATATGGAGAGACTGGATCAAGTGGCCTTATCTATCTATACAAAATATATAAAATAAGAATAGAGTTAAATCATTTCTAGAAAAAGGTTTCTGCTAAAATTATTAATTTTAGACAAAATTGCCCTTACAATCATAACTTTATTGGATATTGTAATTTAATCACAACTTTTTTACTTTTGCAAATTATATCACAATTTTCAGTTTGTTGCAAATTAGTGCACCGATTTTCATATCCCGTGCAAACTATATCACAATCTTTAATATGTTGTTCGACCACATCAGCTTTTCTATGACTGTTTTCAGAATGTTTGCAACAAACTAAAGATTGTGATATAATTTACAAAAATGAAAAGGTCATGATTAAATTGCAACTTCGATAAAGGTCGTGATATTAGGGGCAAATTTGTCTTAATCTATACTTAAAAAAATGTAAGTTTTATGTTCTTTTTAAGTGTTTTCAAATAAAAAAAAAAAAAAGCATTAAATACATCACCAGAATCTCGGTTGTTGTTTGTGATCATGTCATATTTTCGATTTTGTAAAAAAAAATCTCGAATTCTGTGTTGTGTACATTTTGAATTTATTTAAAATCAGACTATTTTAATGATATCGTAATCAATTTTTTTATAGTAACTATTTTATTGAGTGTATTTTTTCTTTCTAGTAGTTTTTTTAAAATCACCGATTAAAAAATACATCTCATTCTAATTCTGGACAGTAGATATATTTTTTATTATTATTTTCTTTTACAAACAAAATTTAAAACTGCAACAGAACTGGACATGTTATATTCTCATTTTGTTTTTATAAAAGTACGACATAAATAACTACAACAGTTCGACCATTTTCATGCAAAACGTAACAAACTATTTTGAATAAATAACATTCAAATTTTAAGTATACACAATTAGCATTCAAACTTATCCTTTACATATACAAAAGATGACTTCGACATCCTTGTTCATCACATGAAAAATTAAAAGTTTTACATTATGAATCCAAGCGAAAAAATGATTGCCTTATTCAAAAGAGATATACACAAGATCCATGCAAAATAAAATTTAGATATACCCAAGTCAATTTATTTATGAACCATTTATTTCCTTAAAAAATGTAATTTAAATGTCCTCCGATTCATTTAGTTAGTTTTGAGCTACAAATAATAAAATATCGTTGTTTTTATTAACATAATTATTTTTGTAAATATGGTTTTACAAAAGATTTAATCGAAATTCCAAAATCTCTGTTAAAACATAACAAAAACAAAAATGTTCTAATTATTGGAATGAATTTAGTATAAAAAGTGGGAAAGATTGAAAGACAAAAGATATATACTCAGAATTTACACTTCAAGGTAACAACTCTTATTATATTCCATATAAAATTAAACTTCAACTGATAAATCATATATTACAATATTACATATTTTTACTATAATTTGATTTCGTGGTGTTCAAATTCCAAAACGCAGCAAAGAATTAGAGGAAGAAGGTATCTATGAAATTTGCAATTACCAAGTGGAGAGCAATCTTGGTAAATATTGATCTACAGTTGCCAAGTGCAAAATGATTTTGCATGGAAAAATAAAGAGGTTTTTAATAATGTATGACTTTTTCATGACGAACATTTTAGGACTACTTGAGAAATAATCTATGTATTATAACTTATTGATCTAAATCTTCAATTTATAAATTTTACCAAAACAAATACATCTCGTGCATCGTTCTGGTTATGTAATAGTTCTTAAATATGAGAATGTGGTGAGAAATCTTAAATAGAAACCCAAAATATATACCCAAGATTTAATCTTTTAATTTATTTTTAGCAATAATATTAATTAAGTTTTGTAACCATTGATACTTGGGCTACTGCCAGCATTAGTGTTAGTTTGAGAACTGCACATTTAGTTATATAATACATACTTAGTTTATATCAGTTGTATTTTGTAACTATCAACTTTATAAATGAATGTTTTGAAATGCATACTTTGGGGGCTATAGATTTGAAAGTTGGTAACGCAAAACACTCCGACCGGCTTGAAATCAGCTTGCCTCCTTCTTTCTCGCTGGTAGAACGCCGCGTTCTTGCACAGAACTCTCACACCGGAGAGGTTTTCCGGTGAAGAGCCTCCGATGCTTAAGTCAGTAAGTGTTTTTCCAATTTTCCAAAGTAAAGAATGGATAAATCGTAAGTCACAAGAAAAGACTCACTCCTATATATAAAGGAGTGAGATACCTGCCTTAGAAGCTGCCCGGATTTTGGTGAGCTGTCCTGCCCGCACTGCCCGTCCGTACACACATAGTGTGCGTATTGTCAGAGATGTCAGAGGTGGCTGTTGCCACTATCGCTCTGCACCAATGTATTCTTGCCACGTGTCCCTTTGAACTGAGGGGAATTATTCCTCTGCGCAGGCTGTTGGGATCTCCTAACGTCACCCACACGCCTACTCGCGTCCAGGCCACGCTCCTGACTGCTCTCTACCTGCTACGTGCTCGATCTGATCGAGCTCCCCCTTGTTAGGTCGATCCTCGACCAACTCTGCCATTCTGCTCGATCTCTTCCCTTTTGGTCAATCATCCTTCAACCAATGTGGTTTTCTCCACCTCTTGCTTGCCCAACCGGTGCGGTGGAGTGGTCTGCTCATTAGTCGTATAATATCCCATATCATCTAGTCCCCCCCACTCTGGTCGAGTCTGAATGACTCGATCTAAGAGCGGATTCGAGCTGTCCTCTCCATTCTGTCAATCCTCTCGATCTCCCACTCGCACCTGGCCTCTTCTCTCGATCATTTTTGTTGATGTCGCCGCCTTTCCTCGACCACGTGGTCCATTTTAATGCGCCCAATAACTGTTTTTTATTTCCTTTTATTATCAGCGTAATCTCCGCCTGCCACATGTCCCCTCAACTCTGTACTTTTATTCATCTCGCCTCCTCGCGATTTGTGTCGCTTCGTTATCTGCGCCTCTTTAATTTTTTCCACCGTTGGATCTTCTTTTATCCAACAGTCATATCCCCTAACTCTTCACCTTATTCATTTGTACTCGTATAAATGCGGTACTTAGCCACTTTTTCCGCTTTCCTCACTTTTGCAATTTCGAACTCCCTTGCGCTTTGATTTCTTTCTCTGCAAATTTCTCCTTCCTGCACTCGGCGTCTTTTCAAGCAATTTCCGGCAACCACTTCTCTACTGCAACCATGAGTAAGTCTTCTGTGCTTCAATTTTATATTTGCGTGCATTTATTTTGTCAATTTTCAATTTTCCCTGTTACTTCTTCTTTTTCCCAAATCCCTCTTATCTCGTCTATGGCAAAAAGGAAACTCCTTCTTCGTTTTCGAAAACCCTAACTCCATTTCTCTTCCTCTCACTTCTTCGTTCTACTTTTCAGATTCCGCTGACTCTAACTCACCAAGCCACCATTCTGTTGAAGACGAGATCGCCACATCATTTCCCCCTACTCGTCGGCCTATTCCTCACTCGCCTTCCCGTTCCGTCGAAGAAACCTACAATCCCGCTCCTATCAGTGTTCTACCCCCTTCCGATTACGCCACACCTTCTTCTCATTGCCAACCTACTCGTCTGATTGATGAATCGGACGAGGATGCCCTTGACCATATCCCCCTCAATCGCCGTCGACCGGCGTTTGGGGCCTTTGATGTCGTTGAAGAGGCTCTTGATGCCGCTGAAGCCACTGCTGAGAAAGAAGAAGATAATATTCCCCTTTCTCGCCATTCTGTTTTTGCTCGGGCTACCTCTTCCCCTAACCTTAAGAGGGGCGTTTCGAAATCCTCAACTGGTGCCACACCTCTTGCCTCTTCATCTATCCATGTCTCTACCTCTCCTAAGGCTGCCTCTAAGAAGGGTAAGTCGACAAAGGTGTCTACTTCTTCCAAGAAGGCTTCTTCTTCCTCTCGTTCTCTCATAGCTGGCTGGTTGGATGCCGAAGAGATTGGCTATCCTACCAGCTGGGCTTTCGTATCTCCAGGCCCTCGAGACACCTATGACAACCCTCCCCAAAACTGCTACACTTTCTTTGAGATTCAATTTAAACTTGGCATCCGTTTTCCCTTAAGCCATGATTTGGTCGATCTTTGTAAGTGGTTCGACCTGCCCTTAAACCAACTCCCGCCTAACTCCATCCACTTTATCACTGTTTTCATCATCCTCTGCCACATCCGTCTAGGTCGGCTCGATCTAGATTTTTTCCATTACTGCTATACTCCTTCAAAACATGCTCAAGGGATCTACCTCAAAAGCCTCAACGATGTCCATTTCATTTCAGACACTCCCTCAAACGTCCCCAGGTGGAAAGACAAGTTCGCTTTTGTCGAGCCTAAACCTGCTTTCCCCTGGGCGTCATCTCTTTGGCTTAAAGAACTACCGCGCGAGTATTCCATACCTTCAACCAACGCCCTCTTCGACCAACGGATTGCAGTATGGAACAGCAAACCCGTCGCGTCGAAGACTTTGCTCGAGGATGAGGACCTCTTGCATTTCTGTGGACTACTTACCCATAAATCCTGTCCTCTCCTCAGCCAGAAAACCCTCGATCTAATCTGGATAGAGGGTGACCCAGGTATGTGTTGTCATCGGACAGGCTCGAGCATTATCGTGTTTGTTTCACATCATTATGTTTGTTCCACATATTAATTATCTATTATTGCTTTAACTTATACGTAATTTTTTTGTAGAGATGCCCGCTATCTCTGTGCCTAGGAGGAAGGCTTCTTTGAGAATGAAACAGGTCACTGAGGGGTCAGGCTCCAAGCTCGCTGACTCGACCACCTTCCAATCCGTACGCTCGACCTCCGGACATAACTGTCGAGCAACCCTCTTCGCTCAACCCTCCAACTGACCAGCCCATCGAGCAGTCAGAACAGCTCAAGAAGCCGTCCTCTCCACCGCCATCGTCTCCTCCGCCGTGCTCTCCTTCGCACGACCAGACCACCACGGTTATACACATTCCCGCTTCTCCAGAGCAAACTCGGCTCGTGGAGAATTCACTTAAACGCCCCTCTGCTGAGGGGGA